GGGTCATTGGGCCACAGCCACAATGGAAGAGAGCTAGTAGTAGCGTAGGAAGGGAAGAATGGAGGGGCGCTGATACGTTAAGGAGACGCTGGTTGGGACCTCACCTCGAGGTCGGGGCAGCGGCCGCCGGCGGCTGGATTGGCGGCGGCGAGGTGCGGATCCGGCAGGTCCTTCCTCAAGGCAGCGAGCAGTAGTGGCCAGCCGGGGTGGGTGGGGAGGAAGACGAAGACTTGGTTTTTCTTGAAAGAAAGACCAAGACTTGTTGCTAGTCATGGCAGCAGCAGACAGTGTGTCGGAACGAGCAGGTATACAGTTTTTTTTTCTTTTTTTATTGAGGCAAGAGCAGGGATACAGCTGGCTTCTCCTATTTGGCGCGCGCTAGCGACCTTTTTTTTTTTTGAGATAACGCGTTAGCCACCTAGCCCGTACCCACTCGAGCGCCCGATCCTCTGTTTGGCCGGCCCATTTTGGGTTTCTTCCCCACTCGACGTGTGCTCGAACCGTTTTTATTGTTTTTTCTTATGAATTTTCTTTTTAAATTTTATTACTTTATCGTTTTCCTCATTTTTTAGTTATTTATCTTTTTTCTTTTTCCTTACAATTTTTGCGAACATCTATCAAATTTTTTAACATTTCCCAAAATTATAAAAATTCAAAAACATTTTTTGAAAATTGTGAACATTCTTAAATTATAAAAATTGTGAACTTGTTTTTGAAACTCGTGAACATTTTTAAAATCTTCGAATAATTATTTACAATTCAAAAACATATTTATGAAATGCATGATCATTTTTTCAATCTGCTGACATTTTTTGAACTGATGGAGTTTTTTGAATTTGGTTACAGTCTTTTGAAATTCGGGATTTTTTTTTATTTTCTGTGAACATTTTCCAAATTCACGAAATTTTGATTTTCCGTGAACATTTTTCTAATTTGCAAAAAAAATCTAATTTATGAACATTTTTAATACACATTTTTTTCAAAATCATGGACATTTTTTAATTTTCCGTGAACATTTTTCTAATTTGCAAAAAAAATCAAATTCATGAACATTCTTTAAGACGCAATTTTTTTCAAAATCATGAACATTTTTTGATTTTCATAACATTCTTTTCAAAATCAAAGAACTGTCCACCCACACTTGGACACCCGGTTATCACTCCCACTCGCAGCCTCGCCGTCGTCATTGAAGCATTACCCACCTTGTTAGCAGCCTCTTGCCGTCGCTGGTGTCTATTGGTCGCCGAAGAACCTCCTGGTTCACCCGCCTTGGAACACCGTCAACTGTGAGTTCCAGCTTCTCACTTGACCAGTCATAGCATCGTTGCAACATCCCAAGGTGACGGTTCCAGCACGAGTGGTCGTCGGTTCTAGCTCGCCACGATCGCCGTTGCAGCACCTAGTGAGTGTGGTTCCAACTTTGTCGTCCTCATGTTCCAGCTTTGTCGTCGGCCGATTCCAACAATTTTTCACGACAGTTGTAGCAAAGATGTCGGTGGGTTCCAGGACAGGGTCACCACGTTTCCAACATCGGGTCATTGGTTTCCAGCCGCGCCGATTGCCGATTGTAGCATGATGCCTTGCCGGTTCCAGCACGGCGCCTGCTCGGCCCTGGAGCTTGGTCGTAGGGCATCCCCTATAGCCACATCACGGGCATTAATGGGTCTCCCGTCGTAGCCCTGTGGGGTCGCCGCAACAGCACCAGATGCAGTAAACCAAAATGGGAAGAATCGCTCGCGCCTGAGTGGATAAGGTTCAACATTGTTAGTGGGCGTGCTCTCACACGCGAGGGGGAGACATGGTGTAACAAAGGAGCAACTGATCAATGTGGATTGCATGATGCGCGCGCTATTGGCGAAGTTTAAGGCCGATCGACTGAACATGGTTGCTTTCTATAATAATAACAGTAACAAATTTCAACTTGGTAAACAAACATCAATGAAACCTTAGTGAATTATATACCATTTGTATACTTAATTAAGAATTCACATGCATCCCACATCAAATAAATAATAATAGACATATCAATTCATGTGGGTCTGTAACACTTAAATTACATTTAACTAAAATTCTCAATGAAAGGCTGATTGGAATCGCCAGGAGATAATATATGATTATCTTATCTACAATCATATACCCCTAAAAAAAACTACAATCATACAAGCAGGGTGTAATTAAGGAAACATACTGCGTTTGATACTCTAATAATAATCCTATAACCAGAAGCACCACGAGAAGAAGAATGCAAGAGTTCATGCTATTGCACATATATAAGCACCTCATCCGAGACAAGTGTTGTTCATAACTAGAAACAGTCACAGAATACAGATAAACTAGTAAAAAAAAGTATGCACGTGTAACGTGTTCATACCTTATAAATGGATGGACTGAGAACAACTATACGTCGAAAGATTTGTCTATCTTATTACCGAGGCATACCTTATCAATACATAACTGAGCTCTAATATATAGAGCTTGGTAGACCATCCAGGTCTCTTGCTCTCGCTCTCCCTATTCCTTTCTTGTACAACGCTAAAGTAGTAGAAGAATAAAGAAGCATTGAATTTGGGGGATGCGTTTCTTGTAATCAGAGCAAAGAGTATAAACTAAAGATGGGTATGCTTTTCTCAATTCATTGCTTTAGTTTTGAGCGATCTTAGAGCATGGTTAATAGTATAGCCTGCTGCTGGCTATAAGCCAGTGCCATGTCATCTACAACCCATCTTATAGCTAACATGTATAATAGTAGATCAAAAAAAATGTACTACTTTTTTATTATGTGGCCCACCTTTCATTCTCACAAAGTGCCTAGGAGCACGTGCTAGAGCTGGCTCTTCACGAAGAGCCCGCTTACCTTCTCTCTCCTTTTCTCTTTCTTCCAACTAAGCAGAAATATACTAGTTTATTCCTTATAGCCCGCTGACTAAGCTCTATTGTACTTGCTCTTAGTTGAATGAAGTTGAAGGTCCTGGACTATCTAACTGTTCAATTGTTCATCGTTTCCATATCTTTTTATCCTTTTTTATCCTGTAATAACTACACTAAGCCACATCAATTTTTAAGATAATAGCCAGGTAACACATGCACCACAGATCATTGACAAGGTTTACGTTAGACAGAAGCTAACTAACTGCTGAAGTTAAAGGAGCATCTGGACACCATAACCTATAGCTGATGGTCAGCTACAAGGACATGCTTAGTGGTTGTTTGGATGACGGGAATTAGACGAGATAGTTTGGAAAACAAGTTTTTAGATGATATTTTAGAAAAAAACAGTTTTACTTCTTTTTTAAGAAGGGAGGTGGGCTTTACCTAAAAAAAATGCATGGTGCTTTGCCCCGCCACTAATGAAAAACTAGAACCCAGTTTATCGTTTCAATAAAAAACATTAAAAAAATGTTGATATCTCACACAATCTATATCTCTTCCCTCATATTATACCCCGGCTCCCTTCATCCAAATATATAGAACCACATCTGCAACCAGGCGCCCAAACCGTACTCAAACATCCGGGCGGCCTGCCCAGTCACTAACCGATTATAATTTTTTGACCCAGACGGCCCCCTCAAACGAGCCTCACACGCCCGAGCTGACCAGCATCCTTCATATCTAGCCCAAATATGGGGCGAATATGGGGCGCCCAGGCACGTCCGCCACGCCGCACTGATGGTGGGGTCCCACGCGGAAAAGTGCCCAGAAGCCCGGCGGTCCGAAGCTCGTCTCCTCCGTCGGACCGGTGTCACCATGCGGCGCCGCTTCGGCGGGCCGCGTAGTGCCTAGTCCGGCTATTTAAATCGATCGGCGGCACCAAAACCCTACCGTCCACATTTTCCTTCGCCTGTCCGCCGTCGTCGCCACTTTTACCCCCTGTTCGCCTAGTAGCCATGCCCCCATGCCGCCGGGTGAGGAGCGAGCCATTTCTAACGCCAGAGCGCCTGCTTGAGCTCCTTGAGCAGATCCGGGCAAGGCGCGAAGCCCGGATGGCCGCGGGGCTACCTCCGGATGTAGTGGACCAGAAGAAGGAGTTGGAAGAGGAGGTGGAGGAGGAGGAAGACGACGGCGAGGTTGAGGAGAAGGAGGATGAGCCGGAGGAGGATGTGGGGGACGCTGGCGGCGCGGATCTGCAAGCGGAGCAGCAGGCCGTCCTTGATTCCTTCCGCTCGAAGTTGGATGCGGAGGCCAGACGCCGTTGCCGGCAGGAGAGGCGCAACAAGCTGCAGAGGAGGCGGAGATGCTCGCCTGCATGGATGAGGTCGAGTTGGAGGAGGATGAGCCGGAGCCCTCCTATCTGCCCGTTCAGTCGGCGCCCAGCACCATTGTCGTGGACATCTCTGACGATGAAGATTAGATAGGGTAGTACGGTATGTAGTATGTAGTAAGTAGGATTTCTTGTGCTTGCTTCTATGGATCTAGGGGTTGAAATATGAGAGACTTGGATGCAGAATGATTAATTTGAGGCGTGACCAGTCACTGTCCATGAACGTGCCCGGTCACGTCCGCGAACGTTTGTGGGGTCGGATTTGTAAAGTCCGGCTGTAGATGCGCTGATGGTTTTTTTGTTGCCTTTTGACCATGGATTAGAGCTTTATATGTTACAAAAAGTATGACGCCAAGTATGACGCCAAATTCATATGGGAAAGGTGTTTCTAGTGATATAATCCTTAGACCATAATAGCATGTATTACTAATCATAGCAATGGTCGAAGACACTCTAAAAACATACTTGTCCATATTTTAATATATATCTTTTTGAGACAATGTCCATATTATAAATGGAGGGAGTACCCTTTTTTTTAGGGGTAAATGGAGGGAGTACCCAACCCTCGAAATCCCAGGACCGGACCGGCCTGACGCCACCATCGGGCCGAGAGCAGGCTGGAAACACCAAAACCCCAGCCCACCAACAAACAGAGCAACGGCACGATACCGACCAGCGGGACCAACGCACGACGGGCCTACTAGGCAGCCAGCCACCGAACGCCACTGCTCGAGGCACACCAATGCCGAGCGTGGGGAGGCGGCTGCCGCCGTGGACGTCGCCGAGGGGCGCGGCGGAGAGGTGGAGCCCCGGCACCCCCGCCGGCTTCGCGGGCTCCGGGAGCCACGTCACCCCGCCCCTGAGCGCCGGCTTCTGCTCCTACCGCGCCACCCCGCCGACGAGCGGCGGCGGGTGCTCCCGGCCGCCGAGGGCGCCGCCGGCGGCGGATTCCCCGTACGTGAGGGCGAAACAGGCGCAGGTAACACGGTCGACCACCACAGCCACCGTCAGGCGCGATCCCTTCCCGTTCAGGTTCCGAAACCCAGCGCCGTGCTATCTCGTCGTTCGGGCCATTCTCCCGTCGGCAGGGGAGGGATTCGGGGTGGCTAATTAGATGCAACTGATAGATATGGTAGATCAACTTGCTGTGCTACGCTTCGTGTTCCTGATTGTTCGTAGAAACTCGTGGACTACACTTCTTCTCGGGATGATTGTGGAGCTGAAATATAGGAGATATTCAATTGTCCGAGGGAACTTGATTTGCTCCTAACATTGTTCCGTCAGGGTGAGAATTAGTGCTAGCTTCCTTGACTTGCGCAGTTGCAGTAGAGCTCAAATGCCACCAGGCTGCCTCAGTTGTTAAGACTACAACGTTTCTCTTGTGCAAATCCATTGGCATCCATTTTCCTGGAAGCATATCAATAAATAATTAAATGTGCATCGTGGAACTGGTCTCTGTGAGTCGGTGCATTAAATTTTATCTTGAGTGAACATAGCATTGTTCTGTTAGTTGCATTGTAATGGTATTCTGCAATGACTGCCGCTTGCTGAATCTCGGAACATGCTTGAATAGTATACAGGGGAGAAGGATGTAGTGGCCTTGAAGCGTAGCAGTTCTCCACTGAAGAAGCGTAATATGGTTGTTTAGCATCTTTCATTGTATCAGGATATTTGTTAACAGTTAACTGCACAAGAATAGAGAAGGATGAAGGTACACACTCCCTGGCATAACTAATAATTTTGGGGGAGAAAACGACATTAGCTTAAAGCGGCATGGAAGTGGTGCCCTCCTATCTTTTTTAGCCGATTTTAATTTTTTTAGCGGATATGAGTAGGCGACTAGGTGTCCTATTACCAGAATTATGTTCTATCAAAAGCTTATATTCAAACGGTTTTGGCAAGATTTGATGTTGTACTGCATCCGTATGTTTGTCCATTAGTAGCTGCAATAGATGCTCATCCTCCCTGAAGTTTTGCTTTTCTCAAATATGCTATATGCTGAAATACTTCTGTACATTACCTGCATTCCCCCAGTGTTATTTTTTCTGTACCACTTGCAGGTTTTTGATTCTAGATGCATTTACAATCTTGATAATAGAAGCTTTCGTAAAATAAGCTTGGGTTTCTTTTTGTTTTCTCACCTGGTGTCTATTATTCATTTATTACAGTTAATTGAAAAAGATCCAAACAAGGCAGTTCCATTGTTCTGGGCAGCTATTAATAGTGGTGAACGAATTGAGAGTGCACTGAAGGATATGGCTACTGTACTGAAACAAGCAAACCGGGCTGAAGAAGCCATTGAAGCGATAAGATCCTTCCGTGACCGTTGTCCGAATGAAGCCCAGGAGTCTCTTGACAATGTTCTTCTTGACTTGTACAAGGTATTTCAGTCCTGTAAATCTATATATGTAAGCTAAAAATTTCTTCCGAAGCCCATTTTTGAGGTTTGCTTATAATATATTGCAAGAACCATTCAAAAAAGTCATCAGCTAATAATAAACCTACACCGCATTGTAGATAAATATCTAGCCAAGTATTGATACAAATCATTTTTATGTTAAACCAGAAATGCGGTAGGACAAAAGAGCAGATTGAAATGCTGACAGTGAAACTGAGAATGATTGATGAGGATCTAGCTTCTGGCCGGTGGAAAACTAAGCTTTCTAAATCTCATGGAAGAGTATTCTATCTCTCTCTTAGGGATGAAAAGGCAAGGTATTGAAAATCATTCATACATCTTCATTTGTCCTGTGAACGCCATTCTAAGGCTCTGCTTTGTCATGAAGGTTGCTGGGTAACCTCGCCTGGGCCTATATACAGTCTGAAAACTATGAGGAAGCTGAAATGCTCTACAGGTATATCTATGTTGGGGATGTACTTATTAAGCTGATATGGATTTTGTTAGACATGATTTGTATTCTCTTGAACTTCTCAATCCTTTGTTTGGTATTATTTGTAAAAATGAGTAAAAATTATGGCACCATTGTACTCTTTCCATCAAAATATATAAGCTCCCCGTGAATTTTGAGCCTAAATTTGACTAACAAAATATGAGTTGTATGCCACAAGAAGTATACCACTGGATCCATATCCGAAAGAGCTTTCCAACGGTATAGCTTTTACGGCATATAACTCATATTTTGTTAGTCAAATTTATTATCAAGGTTAGGCTCAAAATTTGAGCGGGCCTTACGCATTAGGATGGAGGGTGTAGTTTCCCACTCCACATCAAGGATGCAGAAATGACTGTTCCCAGCACTGGTAATGCTTGATAGTAGTAGAAGGGGACTCTGTTTTTCTGTAATAACCCCATGCATCATTTCCAGTAAAGCTCATTCAGTTATATCCAGCTGCTACTGACTTGGCATTTTTCACTTGACCCAGGCAAGCTCTTGCTATAGAAACTGATTATAACAAAGAGTGCAATCTAGCCATCTGCATGATGAAGATGGGAAAGGTAGCTGAAGCTAAATACCTTCTCCAAGCTATACCTTACAACTGCAATGATGAAAACCACGTGAGATCTTTTGCCCGGGCTACTGAAGTGCTTAGGGAACTTGAGTTACAGGCACTCCCTTCTCCCATAACTCAGATGAAGTCTAAAGATTCACGGATTTTGCTTGCTACTGATGTGGGGAACCTAGAATATCTACATCCACAAATATTCTCTGCTACAACTCAATTGAATTATGAAGAACCGCAAGCTTCAATTTCGGCAGATACAGAGAATCATGAAGATTGCAACTCACAAGTGCTTCCATCTCCGATAACCCAGTTGAAGCGTAAAGAACCACAGCTTATGGTTGCTACTGATGGAGAGAAGACTGGACAAAGTCTGGAGGAGTACCATGATCTTTCTAGACTGTTCAATGATGCTGCCACACCACAGTCTCTACTTGAGAAACTACGAAAGCGGCTGGTCAAAAAGGACAGACCCAATATCAGCGCACATAATCAAGATCAGACTCCTAGCCCAGCTGAATGCTTGCCAAGCTCTAATGGCGCCGTAGATGCTAGCGAGAATCCTATGCAAGAGGAGAAGCGTTTGGTTGGTGGCGGTAGAAAAACGTGGGCAGACATGGTGGAGGAGGATGAACAGCAGCAGCTGGCCGATGGCAAGAACACCACCGCCCCGCAAGGTGAAAGCAGCAAGCATGCGAGTGAGCAGAGGGATAAAACACCATCCTCATCATCTCAAGGAAGCTGCAGCCTCAAAACCCCGGTCGCTGGTGTTCGGCCACAGAGTTCATCAGCAGGTTCATGGAGACGTAATGACTCGGCCGGAATCTCGACAGACGAGAATGTGAACCGGAGTTTCGTCAGGACAGCTCCAGCATGGAAGCAGCGGAAGGTTCAAGATCGTGGTGACCGAGTCTGCCAAAGGCTTAACACGACCCATCTCAGTGAGAAAGCTCGAGGCACCGAGCAAACAGCAAGCTCAGTGAGAAGCAGTGCAGCTCAGCGTTCGCTTTTCCACGGGCAGGTACCATCTGGTTTTAGCGGACGCTCTCAGGGTGCCAGTCACACTAACCGTTGCCCTGGGAGCCCGGCGAGCACAGGACCGTGGAGGCCACCGGACCGCGGGCGGGCCTTCCAGGAAATCACAAACGAGCTGAAGCAAAATGTTGCATAATAGGATCTTTATGCTTCACCCACTGTTGATGGAAGTTCTCACTAGTAATTAGTTGGTGTTTCCCACTGGAGATGAGAAGAGGCATTAGCACTGGAGTGTCAGCAGCACCCGAGGAGAATTAACTACAGCAGTCATGCAGAGCTAAGGAACTCGCCAAAACATTGTCGATAGACCCATGAATCGAATTCTCTTTGTGATCCAAGTGGATATCTGTTTAGCTGTACATTTTTCATTCGTAACCCCACAAGTAACCTGTAGAAGAGGGTGACTAAATACCTAGTGTGAATTTTCTTTTCTTTCTTCAGTGCTCAATGCCGCTTATCATGCATATAACTCTACAATCGACCTTTTGGCACTAGTGTTGAGATGTTACTTGCAACATGTGGCTTCTTTCTACTGCATGGCCAGACATTCCCTGCATGATGGGGTTTTGAAAGATCTGAGGGCAACTCCAGCGCACAACCCCATCCGCTCCGTGTCTGTCCGCTTGGGCCCAAACGAGCAGACCGCACGGCCCAAGGCGCGACCGCATCTGCTTTTTTTTGTCCGTTTAGCGTTCGGCCCGCCCCATTTCAAACCTGTGCCCGGTTTGCATCCACAGGAACGTCAAACGGACGGGCACGCGCTTGCTTCTCGTTCGCCTCGGGGGCGCGTGGCGGCCGTCCACCTGGGCGCGTGGCGGCCGTCCACCTACCTCCACCGCCCAAAATAACTGCTCATGCGCAGCGGGCACTGGCTATCAGCCACCCAGCCGCCCGGTCGTCGTCCTTCTTAACGTGAAAGCCGTGGATAATTATTATTACCAGTACTAATTATTATTATTATATTGATGAATTGAAACTAGTTCTGTGTTACCCTATGTTATAATTGTTGCATGAAGAATGCTATCCGACATAATTATCCATCATTAATCCATTGCCTATAAGCTCGTTTCTTATTGATCTTTGCTAAGTTACTTTACCGTTGCCACTGTTATGATTGCTACAAAACTGCTACTGTTACTTTTGTCACTGTTACTATTACTTTCATACTACTTTGCTACTAAATACTTTGCTGCAGATATTAAATCTTTCAGGTGTGGTTGAATTGACAACTTAGCTGCTAAACTTGAGAATATTCTTTGGCTCCCCTTGTGTCGAATCAATAAATTTGGGTTGAATACTCTACTCTCAAAAACTGTTGCGATCCCCTATACTTGTGGGTTATCAGCGTCTTGAGCGCCTGGACCTGGAGCTCCCGGCAGGCCTGGACCTCAAGCTCGTCCTCAAGCTTCCAGCGGGCCCGCTCCTGTGCAGGTTGCTGCTCCTCCGCCTATAGCTCCCCTGCTCGTGCTGCTACAGGGAGAAGAAGCACCCTTCTGTAAATCCGCCCTCTGCCTGCTTGCTCGTGGTGCTCCAATTTTTGTACATTGCAATTTCAAACGCAATGCATCATCAAGAGCAACTGGACCAGATTGTTGTTGTTATGGTCTAAAATAGGAGAAGGAAAAATGTTATGCCTCTGTCAATTGTTGAATTATTCAGAGTACTTGAACTATACAGAGATCCATGTTCTGTATCTATGATAATGCACAATTGCAGTGTCCATGGATCACATGATAATCAATTGCAGTGTTAAATTCAGTTAGTGTGTACTCCAAGTAGTGATTTTAAATTCAGTCATCAAAATACAGTCAATGTTTCTACACAATTATGCAGATGAGTGTAAATTCAATCAATAACTTGCACTAAGGAATTTGTTCTCCAGGTAGAGATGAGTGTAAAAATGGTCCAATAATAGTAGCATCATGGTGTGCTACAGATTATGTAGATGAGTGTAAAAGTTAGTTGTCAGGCAGATAGTGGTCCAATAATAGTAGTGTCATCTTGTTTTTGCTAATTTATCATTGCCAAGCACTTGGTACAAAGCTGGCATACTGCCATGGAAGACAATGAACTGTTTTGTGTTTTATTAGCAGAGAAGATAATGCAAACTAACTAGTCTTCATTGGAAAAGACAACATGTAGATGAGTGTAAAAACAGAGATGATCCAATAATAGTAGTGCCATGGTGTGCTACAGATTCATGTATAATTTGGAACATTGTTGGATCATCTCCATTTTTACACTTCATCTCCGTTTTTACACTCATCTGCATGTTGGAAAAGACAACTCTGGATAACTCAAGTTAACTGAATTAAATCTTGTTACTGTCAACTCAGGAAAACTGAAGATTTCTGAATCTACATGCACCCTGTTACCAAAAAAATAACATGTGTTTGTTTTGGTCAGAGGAAGGTGTTGTTGCTATCAATTCACAATAACATGTGTTTGTTTTGCTGCTAACCTTACCTTAGCTTAACCGAATCTGGAAAGATTGGGAAAGTATTCCTCCTAACTTTGGCCGGCTTATTTCTGCATCTCTGTCTTTATGCTGAGCTTGAGTGTGAGCAGCAGCATGGCCAAATGCTCAATCGAATGTTGTTTAGATAAAAAACAAGGGAGATTAGTGTACTCATGCTACCAAACTGAAGGCGGTTTTTTGCTTTCTGTCAGATGGAGACGAGCAAGTGCTGCTGGACATATCTGGAATGCTCTTACTAAAATTTTGCATTAGTAAAATGGAGTACCAAATTAGTGAATTCAGCAGCAAATGGAGTACCAAATTAATTACTCTAGATGGATCATGTATAGAGTTGCTTCCATGTGTTTTGTTTATAAAATTTTAGCAAACAATATAAATTTCAGTTAGATAACCACTGATAGAAGCATGTGAGAGCAAAAAAATTTAGTTAGAGCAAAGTGTTATGAATGTAATTGAAAATAAAGATAGCATCCATTATGCAAATGATCTTACTGTACGAAGATACCTTATGCACTACTCTTATTATGATTATATGCTAACCATTCATATTTTGTACTCTTGTTATGAGTAAAGACAGGAGCACACAGCTATGGATTTGAAGTTAAACCCGGAAGAGGGGGATGAAGCTCAACAAGAAGAACAAGCTCAGCAAGGTGACGCTATTGATTTGAACTTGATCCCGGAAGAGGAAGATGAAGCTCAACAAGAAGAACAAGCTCAGCAAGGTGACGCTATTGATTTGAACTTGATCCCGGAAGAGGAAGATGAAGCTCAACAAGGTGACACTATTGATTTGAACTTGGTCCCAAAAGAGGAGGATGAAGACATTGAATTGAATTTGTTTCCTGAAGAGGAAGAAGCTCAAGAGGCACAAGAAGATGCAGAATTGAAAGAAGCTCAAGAGGCACAAGAAGATGTAGAAGTGGAAGAAGCTCAAGAATATGCAGAAGTGGAAGAAGCTCAAGAAGCTGATGCACAAGGCAATCCAAGAGGAAAGGACCTGACATACAAGGAGAGATTTGGTGTTTACTTTGCTCTGCGAGTAATCGAGCTTAGAGATGGACAGGTTCACCTGTATGACAGGGTGCTCATTGCGACTATGTTGAATGTTCACCTGCGAATAGTTATAAGAATATGGAATATAGCCAAATAACAACTTGCAGCAGGACAAGAAGTTGATGTTTCAGGCAAGAAGAAGAATAGCGGTAGGAAGAGGAAAGAACTAGATCTGTCAAGAACAACCACAATCCCTTTGAACAAAAGAAGAACAATATGTTCTCTTGCAAGGTGTTTAGGTGTTCCCCGATCAACCCTCCATGACAGATTTCAATTGCAAGAGTTAAAACGCATCACGAGCACCATCAAACCCACCCTCAAGCCACAAAACAAGAAGAAGAATAGCAGTAGGAACATGACTAAAGTTCTGCATGTACATGATGGATGAGCGATGGATATCGAGTCCTTGGCCTCGTTTCAAGCCAATGACAAATATGGTCCACATATATGAGAAATGGTATGACATGACTCGAGTGAAGAGCAGCAACTATGTACTGCCTAGAGAAGAACAACCAAATCGCACTGTGCACAATACTCATAGCATTGGGAAGGTAATGTTCCTAACAACTATGGCCAAGCCTCGCTACAATGAAGATGGGGAGATGACATTTGATGGAAAGCTTGGCATTTGTCCGTTCGTGGTACAGACCGAGGCACAACGAACCAGCCATAATAGAGATAGAGGGACAATAGAGCCGAGGCCAGCGAAAGTAACACGACCTTTATGCAGAGATTACCTAATCAATAAAGTAATCCCTTCCATTCAAGACAATTGTCCTAACGGTGACGAGGACACAACAATCTTCATTCCACAAGATAATGCAACACCACATGTCCTCCCTAATGATGTTGGGTTTTTAGAAGCTGTGGCACAAAGAGATCTGGATAGTTGATTAATACAACAACCACCAAATAGCCCTGAGCTCAATGTTTTACATCTTTGTTTCCACTGCTCCATCCAATCCCTAACTGACTGCAGAGCACCTATGAATATCCAGGAATTGGTACATGGTGTAGAGGAGGAGCTGTTTAAAAGCTTTATGACGTTGCAAGCAGTCATGGTCGAAGTGATGAAAGATCAAGGAGGAAACAACTACAAGATGTCGCATTTGCATAAGGAACGTCTACAAAATGTTGGAGAGGAAATAGTCAGTTTATATTGTAGCGCGGAGCTAGTTGCTGACACGAAGGCTATTATAGAACAAGGAAATGAGTAGATAGAGAAAGGGAAAAGGAAAAGAAAGGATAGGAGTATGTGATGTGTATGGCATGTGTCATGTGTATGTCTTGTTGGATTTATTTGAAAAGAAAGGAAAAGGAAAAGTTGGATTTAGTTGAATTAGCTAGGTTTATTTGAATTAATTTGGAATTATTTGAATTAGCTAGATTCTTTGAATTATTTAAACTTATTTGAATTAATTTGAATTTATTTGGACTGTCTTGATTAGATTCTTTTTCTTCTTCTCCATTCTTCTTCTTCTCCATTCTTCTTCTTCTTCTTCTTCTTCTCCATTCTTCTTCTTCTTCTTCTCCATTCTTCTTCTTCTTCTTCTTCTCCATTCTTCGTGTCCAAACTTGATTATCATCTACACAGGAGCATC